GGGAATCAAACCCGGTTCTCCCAGATTAGAGTCCGTGCACTTAACCACTACACCAAACTGGCTCCTAACTTATATGCACATGTAGGGTGTATATAGGTTTGATCATCTCCAGTTGCAAAGGGAACTGGTACCTTGCACTGAACCTAGAAACAAAGTGGCATTCAGTGCATTGCCTGTCTTAAGTATAATTCTGGCCTACCTAACAGGTCTGCCGTTAAAATAACTGAGCTAATGGTTATTACAGATGCCTCAGTATTGCCAACTCTATAATTCCACCCCAGGCAAGCAACCTTTTGCAACTCCTGGGAAAGAGATGATGGGAACAGCACTTGGCAGCTGCTTAGCAACTATCGGATATCCGCAGAACCTTTGCCCTCAGCATTCAGCATCCTTTCCAAGTATCTTAAGGCAGAACTTGCATATTACTGGAGATGCTGTCAAAAATAGCATCTCTGGGTCATATTCTTTCCTGATCTCCTGTAATGCCCAGCAGCACTTACTGTGTAGCATGAGGTCACAACATAGAGAATCTCCCTTCCTGTGCTCTACTGGCAGCAACGTGATAACCTCATACTACATAGTCATTGCATTACAAGGAACCGGAGAAGAACATGGCAGGGAATTACAGTTTTCAGCATCCCATCTCTTTGGAACCACAGAATCTGACTGAAATTTCAACTCAAAACAAAAAGCATTATTATTACTTCTTGGGCTGCTAAGATTATTTATTATAATATTTGCACTGCTGCATTCTGGCCCGACTGCCGTTTCAGGTTTGTCTTCAGGGTTGTCTTCCACATGGAGTGCGTTACTGGAATCCAGCCACCAAGTTACAGGAGTAAGGATCAATGTGGCCAGATGGGCGGAGTCTAAGAAAAGAGAGAGTTGACAAACCAGTTGCCACTGTCTGACAGAAGGAGCTCTTGGCCACTGCACCAACATTGCTTTTCAAATAGCACCTACAAGATTTTAAACTGCTCTGCAAAAGTCCCCCTGTTTGCAAAGTCCATCTCCACCCCCATCAAGGACAATTCCTCTAAAACATCAGCCTTCTGGAGCAACATTACCTCTGTTTTAACAAAATACGGAGGTGGATGACACTGAACTCCAAAGCGCTGGACAATCTCATTCAATGGCCCATACCTACATATTAAACAGCGTGGGTGAAAGAGTAGAACCTGGTGGCACTCCACAGGACGAAGCCCACCCAGTTGATTCTGCTCCTCCAGTGGAAACTCTTTGTATCTATTGTGTAGTGGGTTGACCGCGTGGCTAGGCCCACTCAGCTCCCATAACATGGTGCACGCTTGACTCTTACACAACTAAGACAAAGACAAACGGCCAGGAGGCCAACTATATACATATCCAGGGGACAGCCCTGGATCCCATTGGGAGGTTCGAACTTCCCTCCCCGTTTCTATTGGCTCCCCGTTGGAGAAACCAAAAGACCAGTTCCCATTGTCCACCCAGGGTCAAGCCCTGGGTACTCGCTGGCCCCTGGTGGCGGCCAGCGGACACAACAGTATCCAATCAAACAGAAAAGACTGAAGCCACCAAAGGTCTACTGCCTTTAACACCAACCCCATATTCCAACTGATGGATAAGAATGTAGGGGTCAACAGTGTCAAGGGCCATAGACAGATCTATCACCAGGGGTGACTGTTCCTGACCAACTTTAAACCAAGATTGCCGAGAAGTGCCACTAAAGCCATCTTGGTTCCAAACCGAGGACTAAAACCTGACTGAAATGGGTCAAGGGCAGATATGCCATCCAGGAAGTTCAGGAGCTGCTCCACTACCGCAGGCTCTATCACCTGTCATGGAAAAGGTAAACTGGAGAGATTTTCTCACCAAAGAACCTAGAAAAACCATCATAGCTAGAGGCTAAATTAACATCATTGACAGGGATGGATTTAGGAGTATTCAAGCCACAATCTCTTTTAAACAGCTGAGCTCAATGAGATTCCACTGACACAATTCAGGCACAGAATTCAGCACATCAAGCCTGGGTTGAAGGCGCTGCACTGGCTGCCTATAGCATACCGAATCCGCTTCAAAGTGCTGGTGCTTACCTTTAAAGCCCTATATGGCCGGGGTCCGACCTACCTAAGGGACCGCCTTTCCCCGTATACACCCCCAAGAGCACTTCGGTCGGGGACCCAGAGTCGCTTAGTGGTTCCGGGCCCCCGAGAGATACGCTATGCCGCGACAAGGGCAAGATCCTTCTCAGTGGCGGCCCCTACCTGGTGGAATGAGCTCCCGGAGGAGATCAGGGCCCTGCGGGATCTTTTGCAATTCCGCAGGGCCTGCAAGACGGAGCTCTTCCACCAGGCTTTTATGTAGGGGCCGCCACTTCCACCATCACCAACGAGGGAAAGACCACCAAGTTGGAGTGTCCTTGATAGCCCGGCGCCATCTATATGACAGCAAGACCAGCCGTTTAGCTTGGACTATATTACCAGGATGATTCCATCATGATTAAAGTCTGCAGGGGCAATTCCCTGCAGGTGCCAACTGCAGACCATCTTGAAATTTAAAGCACTTTATTATTATTAATAGTATGTTGGTTGTGATTTGTGATTTTATCGGATTTTATAAATTTTATGTATGGGCTTATGCCTTTGTAAGCCGCCCTGAGCCCGCTCGCGGGGTAGGGCGGGGTAGAAATACCTGAATAAATATAAATAAATAATAAATAGAAGAAAGCCTCTTTTGCCTCCATCACTACTTCCTCACAGGCCTGTAAATGGGCTCCATGGAATACTCTCTCTGATTCATCTCAAGTCCCCCGCCAGTGTCACTCTAGTTGTTTTCCTTTCGCTCCAATTTGCACCTCCCCGTCACACTGCCATCTTTCGTACTGCATTTTGCAGTCCTTTTAAAGTTTAAATGGATTGCAGAAGACAGCCCCAAACAGCTGACCAGTGGGGAGCACCTCCCCGCTGCTCAGTTGTTCTTTTTGTGGCTTTGGCAGGGAGCAGAAAGCAGGGGTTGAAAGGGACTCGGGAGCCCCTTTAACCCACCACCTTCTGCTCCATCCATGAACCACTCTGAAAGTTTGTGGAAGTTTGTGACAGTGAATCTGTCACGCAAAATTCATCAAGAATTTTGCTTTATGGTTCGGTTCATGCCCATCCCTAGATCTGACCATGGCAAGGTTCAAACTGCCAACCCTCTAACCAGATCATCAGCAAGTCCCTCAGTACAGAAATGCAGGTCCAGTGCATGTCCTTTTTCATGCCCTGGCCTCACAACAACCTGAAACAGATCCATGGTTGTCATGGTGGCCATGAAGTCCTGAGCTTGACCCAACAAGACAGCCTCAGCATGTATGTTAAAATCCCCAAGGACAATCTTCTTTGAGGTCCTCAGCACCAAATCAGATAGCACCTCTGCCAGTTCAGTCAGGGACCCTGCTGGCACACTAGGTCAACAGTAAACCAGCAGGGTCCTCAGCTGTCCCTGATGCCCAACAAAAGGTACATATAATCAAAACTAACTAGCCTCTGTCTGCACTGGGTATCTACTGATGGAGAAAAACCCATGGAAAGATTCAACCCCCCCCCCCTTCATCCTCCAGTCTGAGGTTGGGCATTGAAGAACAAGCAGCCCACAGGTAAGGAAACTCAGGACTTCAAGCCGGTCCTGGCTTTCCCATTGCAACAGTGGGGCCTGGTAGAAACCCTGGGAGAGCCAGTCAACAGGCATCCTTGGCTATTTAGGAGGACTTTGGAGCAACAGTTTTCATCTTGATGGTGGGCAGCCTCAATTCAGGGCAGGAGCACAGTGAGGGGGGGAACTTGTAAACTTTTTCTCTTGTACATTTAATCTAAAAATGAGCACTACCATGCACTACTGGCTCAGGGGGAAAGACAGGGGAAAGGCAATACCTTTTCTTTTCCCTTTCCAAGGCTAATAACACTGGGGGAAGGGACCCGGGAAATTAAGGGACCACATTTCCATCTCTGCCACAGCCCCAGTCTGAGATAGGGCCCCACACATCTGCTGTTCCCATCAGTGAGCCTGAGGCTGCCTGTTTCCTTGTGCCATTTGACTATCTGAAACAGAACCAGGCAAATGAAAACAATGTATGCAAATTCCTTCATTCATGAACATTTGAGACTGCTGTATTCTGAGTTGGACCCTTGGTCCACCTTACTCATCTGCTCTCCTTTTGCTAGCAGTGTCAGGCACTGTACTGGTGAGCCACAGCCCCTCTGAGCACGAGGAGCCATGCAGGGAACAGAACAGAAGCAGCTTTCTTATTGCCAGTCAGACCGGACCAGCAAGCCCAGTGCTGCCTACTGTAACCGGCAGAACCTCTCCAATATCTCAGGCCCAGAATCAGCTGCCGGAGATTCCTGGAAGTGAAGATGCCTGCATTTACACTTCTACATGCATGTATGTGCGCTGCCGCTAAGGCACGGGCCCTCTCCAGTTTTCAGGTTGCCAAATTCAACTTTTCTTCAAGCAGAGTTTTGATGATTTTTCTCTTAGTATGATGTTCAGTTGCTAGGTTTTATATGAAGCATCTACATCAGAAAAAGAGCATATTTCCATTCACAGCTCCAAAAATACTCAGCAGTGTCCCTTCCACTGGTGTTGTGGGGTGTTTTTTTTTGGGGGGGGGTTGCTTTCCTTAAACTAGTGGTATCCAGTAGGCAGCTCATGAGACTGTGTTCCAGTGCTCCCTTCCTGTGAAGTCATTTCCATTGAACAAAGTGGGATTTACTTCCAAGTAAATACACATCAGCTGGGGCACTGAGACCAGCCTGGGCAAAGCCTGTAAACAGCCTTGTTAATATCCCTATTTTAAAGGGCCTACGTAATTTTTTTTTGCCACTCCAAAATACTTGAAATTTTCCTGTGAAATGCATGCCGTTTGGAACAACACATCCAACTTACCTTTGAGAGACCTTTTCCTGTAACATTCTGCCCACCCCACCAATACCAATGTAAGGTCACAATTGAAAAGGAATGGCCCAAGCCATGCCTCTTACCTGGCTTTGTGAGTCCTGTTCCCTGAAGGGCTAGCGGCAGAAACGGTTGCGTTGGAAAACGGTGTCTCAGAAGATGTGTTAATGGCTTTGTCACTGCTCAGTTCCAAGAAAGTGCCATTGACGGGGTATGGCCCCACCTCTTCATGGTCATCGTAATCGATATAAAGGCTGTCCAGGAGGTGAGGTCCAACAGAGTTAACAGGATCCCTTGGAGAAAGGATGCTGTTCGCCGTCTTGTTCCAGGCCAGCTCTTTTGAGTCCGATGTCTTGTCCAGAAGCTTGTGAGTGATGGCGTTTTCTGAAAGGAATTCTTTGGAAAGAAGCTGAGCATCGAATTCCCTTCCACCCCTTTCTGCCATGTAACCGGCCTTGGTTGTGTTTGAATCTGGGATGAAGAATGAAGAGGGGGAAGGAGAAAATTATTGGGGGAAATGAGAGATCTCAAATTGTGTGATTTTTTTAAATGACAAAATTTAGATGTAATTTTATATATATATTTTTTGGCTTGCATGACCAGTAGTCTTAAGCACATGTACACACATTTATGCAATAAAAACAACAAGTAAAACATCAACACTATTTAAAAAGCTCATACATGGACAATAGGGTACGTTATCCCAATATGAGTGTGTTACACTGGCTAAAATCGTCAAACCACATGAGATAATTCTTCCAACTGGAACCCGCTACATCAAATCAGAACAGTTTGAACTTTCCCCACCTTGTTCCCCTTTTTTTGCCACCAGGGCCAAAAACATGGCCACTGCTTTGGTGACTGAATCAGCTCTGTCAGATAAAAGAACAGAAATTGACCAGGGAAGGGAGGGGAGATTTTCTTTTATCAAGATAGGTATAATATACTTCTGCCTCTCCATCTTCCAGTTGGGGCAAGCTAGCACTATGTGATCCATTGTCTCCACCCTACCTAGGCTACAGTCGCATAGCCGTTCAGAGAACGGGATGCCCTGAAAGCGGCCCAAGACTACATTCGACGGAAACGTATTCAGTCTAGCCAGTGTGAAGGCTCTGCGAAGTGCTGAACTTTTGAGAGTATAGCAATAAGTAGGAAAGGCCAAGGGCTAGACCCGAGCATGTACGCCGGGCTCTACACAATGTACTGCGGAGGTCCACTTCCCTTAATTTAGTTTTTATGAGCTTAAGGGCCTCGTTTTGCTGTGGGCGGGGGCACTACCAATGTTCAAGATGTAATTATTTCAGACTGGAATTTTAATGGAACATTTCCCCTCAGAATCCGAATGCCTGTTGACATGTTTTGATCCTTTTGATTTCGACAGGCATCTAAAATCTCAAAACCTACCAACTCTCAAACACAAGGTTTGTCCACTCTGTCAAATACTGTCGTAGAGCAGATCCTGAAAATGTCACTGCACATCAAATCTCATACAGTCCACACACATTCAGCCAATAATCAGACATTCAAGGAATGTCCAACAGAATTTTCTGGAGATGTGTTCTGTCTCCTCACGGCAAATGGTTTCATAGGAGCCAGGGCAGGCGAGAGGGAGAGACAGAAGCCATCTCAGCTGGAGTCTTTTCACTACTTCTGATCTGCGGTTCCTTCACGGGTGGCTTTACACATAAGTCGAGGTAACAAGACAATTGCCCTATTGTTGAGCTTTGCAGTTAGGTAAGCAAAGGGAAAGTTAGGTGAGCATAGGGCCATGGCAGCTCAGAGGTTAAGACGCTGAGCTGCGGAGCGGAAGGTCTGTAGTTTGGCAGTTCAAGACCCGAGTGCCACGTGACGGAGTGAGCTCCTGTCTCTGGCCCCAGCTCCTGCCAACCTAGCAGTTCAAAAGCAAGAAATTGCAAGTAGATAAATAGGTACCGCTTCGGTGGGAAGGTAACAGCATTCCATGTGCCTCTGCGTTTAGTCATGCCAGCCACATGACCACGGAAACGTCTCCGGACAGTGCTGGCTCTTTGGCTTGGAAACGGAGATGAGCACCACCCCCTAGAGTCGGATTTGACTGGCTTTCAAGCCAGGGAAACCTTTACCTTTACTAAGCAAGAAAAGTCTTGCAGGGTTCTCTTCACGCTGCACCTTTGGGTTTCTCCTCCTCCTCTGCGATAAGGGTTCGCCATATTTGAGGCACAGTTGCCCATTCTTGAAATCAAATCTGTAGAGCTGCCCAGGAGAGAGTCCGCAGCCAGGCCATCTTGGGTGGGTCTGGGGTGGAGCCCGGCATAAACACTGCCTATTTACTTAAGATACAATTTCCTCCAGCTATACAAAAACGCAGCTAAAAACTGGAGAAGGCTTTTATCTGTTGCTTTTCCTGGCAACGGAACTGAAAGAGGAGGGGGAAGAGAGCTTTTTGTCTTCTTCGGGCCCTGGTTTCATCTCACAACTATTCTCAAACCAGCACTGCTTTAGTGAAGGAGGGGAAATTCAGTTGCCTTCCATTTCTTGAAAGCAAACTTCTAACAAAAAGTGCCTTGTTCCTGCAAATCTGCTGCATCCCTTGGTTGAGCGCAGGTCGCAGGATAGCTTAGAGTGGCCCAGATCCTTGCTCACTCCAAGAATGAAGTATACGTAAAATTGATATCTAGTTATGCTGTAAGCAGGTGCCTGCTGTGGACACGCTGGAATAGTTCGCCATGCCTGGAGCACAGGGAGTCAGTAAGGCACAGGGAATTTGAGAGGGTGGCTTGGATTCAAATCCCTATTTTGCCATGAAGCTCACCTTGGGCCTTTAAGCTTAACCTCTCTTTCATAAGGATAAAAGCAAACCCTGCCCTGGCCTTGGGGGTGGGAAGACAGAACTAAAATATAACCAAGAAGATCACTTCCTGGGGGTTTATGCCACATGTTTGAGGCTTTAAAAACAACTTTATATTGGTAAGGTTTTGAATATTTACATTTTAGCTGAGATTTTACAGAACAACACTCATCACAAAAAAGGGTAGGGAACCACATGGACATTCAGTCACAGGCTTTGGTTTGGGTCAGCCCTGTATGCCAACCATGTCATGTCTATCTATTTATTTAATTATATTTATACCCCGCCCTCCCCATGAGATCTAACTAGATCAACAGTAAAATTTCATCTTCTAATCTGAGTTGTAATGATAACATTCGCAAGTTCATAGTCCTGAAATTAGAAATAATTACTTCAAAGGATCCCTTAAAAATTAAAACAAGTAGATAGTGGCTTAAAACAGAGACAAATGTCATGCCACTGAGACGCAACATCCCACCATCAAGATGAAAACTGTTCCTCAAGAGTCCTGCTAAAATGGCCAAGGATGTCTGTGGACTGGTTCTCCCAGGATCTCCACCAGGCCCCCCACAGCTGCAGTGGGGAAGCCAACAGCAGCCTGAAGTCCTGACTCCCCTCTCCTCACCTTTGGGTTGCTTGTTCCTCAGCACCGGCGTGCAGGCGTTGGCTTCTGTCCGTTCGTAGACTTCGTTGGTCTCCTGGATTTTGCTCAGGTCTAGATCTTCTGTTGAGTCTTGCCTTTCCAACACCTGATTTTCAAAATGGATCTTTTCTTTGGAGTGTGTCCCAAAGAAACTTACATTATGCTGAATAAATCCCAAAGGCTCTTCTCCATCAAACTCATGGCTTTCTTCGCTATCTGATTCAGAGAAGGTATAGTAAACAGGCTGGGCATTTTTCAAATGTGGCCTCTTCAGAAGCGTATATTCATATGTTATTGAAGGGTTTTTACCATTTTGGTTCCAGACCTGAAAGGGGGGGAAAAAGCAGACTCATGGTCCTTGAAATATCACTGCATGGAACACTAAACTACCCGGTCCTTTTGTAGTCAACAACAGCTGCAGAACCAGGCTGGAGATGTGAAGGACCAGGGAAAATAAAGAAGAAGAAGAAGAAGAAGAGATTGGATTTATATCCTGCCCTTCACTTGGAGTCTCGGAGCAGTTTACAAACTCCTTTCCCTTCCCCTCCCCACAAGAGACACCCTGTGAGGTAGGTAGGGCTGAGAGAGCTCTTGACAGAAACTGCTCTTTCAACAACAGGTCTGACAGAACTATGGCTTGCCCAAGATCATCCAGCAGGTGCATGTGGAGGAGTGGGGAATCAAACCCGGTTCTCCTATAAAATGGAAAAATGCACTGAAATTAGTTTAGGTTTGATAGAACGATTGCATGCATTTCATCCCCCCCCCTTTCTGTTTTTTTTCCTGGATAAATGGGGGGAAAGTTTATTTTCCATGACTTCAAAATTCTGAACACTACATCTCTAAACCAGGCTACCCAGAGACAAGAGAGGCATCTCTCCCTGCCTGGGGACACCTTAGGTATACCGGAAAACATGACATTATAAATTAACTGAAAGCAACAACAACAACAAAACCCACGAAAAATACCAGACTGATTAGAACTGAGTATTAACGGGAGAGTGGAATGTTGAGAGGGGGTTCGGTCAGAAAAAAAGAGAGACAGCAGGAACCAGCAAGTTCCTTAATGCTTCTAGAATCCTGGAGAGGGAGATTTGGTGGTGGTGGTGGCTATGGGAATTTCAAATTAGCCGCCAATCTTCATGGGCTCCCAAACATGGTGGCCCGTACCCATGTGTATGGAAGTAAAACAGGATTTTATTTATTTATTTATTTATTTATTTATTAAATTAAATCTGTTAGACCACTCTTCCTGGCAAGCCGGGCTCAGGATGGCTTACAACAGGGCAAGTACAATAAATAATTCAAGTTAAAAACAGTGTTAAAATATTTATAACTTATCAGCAAATAAAACAATATACTCCCCAAGATGGCGGAAGAGAGATTTTAATTTCCACAGGTTGCCGGGTGTGTGTGTGTGTGTGGAGGGTGGAGTGTGTGAGAGAATGCCAGATATTATACTGTCCCATAGCTGTACTCAACCAAATGCGCAGTGGAACCAAATGCAAATGCCTTGCATGCCCTGCAGAAAGGTAGTAAATCCCGCAGGGCACGGATATTCTCCGGCAGAGAGTTTTACCAGGCAGGGCCCAAGGCCGAAAAGGCCCTGGCCCTAATTGAGGACAGCCAAATCTCTCTTGAACCGGGGACCACCAGAGAGTTCTTATTCCTGGGGTGTAACTTGCTTCCAGGGGCATACTGAGAGAGGGAGTCCCGAAGGTATGTGGGTCCCTGACTGCTAAGGGCCTTGAAGGTCAAAAACCAAGACCTTGAACCTGATCCGGTGCTCCGCTGGGAGCCAGTGCGGCTTGCACAGCTCAGGTTAGATATGTGCCATCTGAGGTGTCCCCATAAGGACCAGCGCAGCCATATTCTGGATCAGTTGGAGCTTCCGGGTCAGGAGCAAGGGCAGGCCCCACGTACAGCGAATTACAGTAATCTATCCTGGAGGTGACTGTTGCATGGATTACCATGGCTAGGTTGGGGAGAGACAGGTAGGGAGCCAGTTACCTAACTGGTGCAGTTGGAAGAACACCAGCTTGGCAGTCTTTGCAACCTGGGCCCCCATAGACAGGGCAGCATCCAAGGTCATGCCCAGACTCTTGATGATTGGCGACTGCGATAAGGGCACGCCACCAAGAGTCAGCGTTGGCGACCCAACTCTGGCTGTCACCCACCCAGCCACAGAACCGCCGTCTTACCCAGATTCAGTTTCAGCCGATCCTGTTTCAACCATCCACCCACGGCCTCCAACCCCTCAGGTAAATTCACGGGCATGGCATCAGGCTGGCCACCCATCCACAGGAATAGCTGGGTGTCATCCGCATACTGGTGACACCCCAGCCGAAAGCTCTGCACTAGTTGGCTGAGGGGGCACGTGTAGATGTTAAAAAGACATCGGGGAGAGAAGTGCCCCTCGGGGAACCCCGCATCCCAGCGGGTACCGTGGAGACACTGCCCCTCCCAGTGCCACCCTCTGTCCCTGGCTGTGGAGAAGTGAGGTGAACCGTTGCAAGGCTACCCCCCCCCCCATTCCAAAGTCGGTGAGGCAGTGAATCAGTAGGTCGTAGTTGAATGCTGCTGTAAGATCGAGCAATATCAGCAGCGCTGACCCGCCTCGATCCAGCTGCCTGCGGAGATCACCCGTGAGGGCGATGAGCACCGTTTCCGTCCCGTGGCTGGGGTGAAAGCCGGACTGAAATGGTTCCAACACCAAGGTGTCCTCCAGGAAATTCTGGAGCTGTTCTGCCACGGCTGGGCAGTAATTGGTAAGATCCAGGGGGTCTTAATTTGGCCCTTTCAAGAGGTGGACAGCCACCGCCTCCTTTGGCCCCTCTGGCTAAACTCGGGTTGCCAGCCTCCAGGTGGAAGGCATGAGGATGTGTGGCACACACGGCTGGGAAGCGCAGGAGCAGCTTAAGGGCTTTCCTGTGTAAGGTGGAGAACCTGACTGAGAAGAACACAGGCTTTCCTGTCTGAAATAACAGCAATTTGAGGCTTTCCTGTCTGAAATAATATCAATTTGTACAGCTCCTAAAGAAGCATGGTTGGAAACAGGGGCTGCCAGATTACCTTTTAAGCCAAAAATTAAAGCCAAAAGTGAAATTTACAGAATTCAACGGAGAGAAGCCGAAGGATAAAGAGGACATCATGTTACCAGCATAAAGCCAATTCAGGAATACAGAAGGTTCCCAGGTGAAAGATTGTGAAATCTCCAGGTCATCTTATCAAGACTGGAACAAGAGTAGAATCAGAGTTAACTTGCCTGATGCACTGCATTGGATTCTCCTGTTGAACTTAACGTTGAATTTTCACCTGTAAAATTGGAGTTAACTGTCCTAATGTACTGCATTGGACTTTCCTGCTGAATTTACTTGTTGTATTATATGTGTTGTGAATTCAGAATTTCCTGTTGTTGTAGAAATTACTGAGGTTTTGTATATTTTAGCTTAAACAAGAGACTTTTTGGAGTGAGCTGGCATATATTGCATAGGGGAACCCTATGGCTGATAATAGAGATAGAAATTAGGTGTTTCATGTAATAGAATTGTATAGCTATTGAATCACACGGGGTATAGTTGATTAAATTCTGTACTACAGTTTGTATATTTTGTATGCACAACGTGTTTTCAATCTTTAACCTCCAGATGGTGGCTGGGGATCACCTGGGATTGCAACCGATCTCCAGGTGACAGATCCCTTGGAGGAAATGGCCGCTTTGGAAGGTGGGTTCTATGACATCATACCTACTGAAGCCCCTCCCCTCCCCAAGCCCTGCCTTTCTCAGGCTCCACCCCCAAAATCTCCAAGCATTTCCCACCCCAAAGCTGCCCCCCCTGTTCCGAGACAGGACCCTAAGCAAGGGTTTCAGCACCCTCATGGCATGCAGAGAAATGTGTATAACAATCAAAAAAAAGAAAAGAAATCCCCAGGAACCTTTGCAAAGGAAGAAGACATTAGTAAAGGCTCCCTTGCTCGAAAGCCGGTCGAATCCGACTCTAGGGTCGCGGTGCTCATGTCCGTTTCAAAGCCGAAGAGCCAGCGCTGTCGGAAGACGTTTCCGTGGTCATGTGGCCGGCATGACTAAACACCAAGGCGCACGGAAGACATTAGAAACAATTAAAAGCTCTGATGGGGTAAAAGGGTGGTCTAGTGGTTACAGTGCTGGATGAGGACGTGGGAGACCTGGATTTCAAATCCTTGCTCAGAAATTATGCTCACTGGACGGCTCCAGGCCATTTACTCTCTCTCAACCTCACCTGCCTTACAGGGTTGTTGTGAGGACAAAATGGGGAAAGACCCGTGTATGCTGACCCGATACCCTTGGGGAAAGAGCAATAGATAGATACCATTTGCACATGAGCAGAAGTCTCAGATGGAAGACGGTGGTTTGCCAAACATCATGAAAGCAGGTTTGGGAACATGCAGAAAGGAAGGTACAGATTTCCATGCATCTGTTGTTGCCATTTCTCCTCCTGCCCACCATTCTCTCTCAACCCCCCACCCCAACTGCCAGTGGGATTTCAGCCAGGTTTCTTTTTTAAATCACTAGTCTATCAAATTGTTATAGTGCTAAAGCACCATAGTGATATTCCGACTAGTCACAATTTTAAAAGGCCAAAAGCCCACTCTGTGGGTGATTTCTCACGAGAGCTGCCTCGCAGCACAGCGCCGTTTGCCTCGACACAAACGTGTCAATTTCACACCCGAAGCTCCGGGGCTGCATTTACTCGGGGCTTCGCCCGATTTCCTCCGCAGTTTCATTGTCCTCAAAAACCAGGATCACGAAACTGCGGAGGAAATCGGTTGAAGCCCCGAGTCAAAATGCAGCCCCGGAGCTTCGGGTGTGAAATTGACACGTTTGTGTCGAGGCAAAGGGCGCTGTGCTGCGAGGCAGCTCTCGTGAGAAATCACCCTGTGATAGAAAAGGAGGGCCCAGGCCAGTGTCTCAGGAGAAACAGGAATGGTGGGCAGGAAGGGAGTAAACCTCTGTGCGGGAACGCTCGTGTCTCCAGGAACGCCTTGACACCCACGGCAGCAGCCCCAGCAGAGCAGGGAATCATTCCCTGAGTGTGAAAAATGGCAGCCAATTACTTTGAATGGAGGTTGACCTTTACGACTTTGTGTGAGAGAAGACTTTTTGTGAGAGAAAAGGAAGGTTCAGGCCGAAGCACAGGCTGGCGCCTCAGGAAAGGCAGGGCCACAGTGAAATAAAGCAGGCAGGCACTAGTCTGTCAGGAAGAATGGAAAATCATAACACAGAGAAAAGGGGAGGGAGAACTGTTTAAAAAAGGACAAGAGATGAAAACACTGTATGCAGAAGGA